TAAAGAGTGTATAGTGAAAAACTGTTTTAAATGGGGTCTGTTTGATTGTTTTACTGCATAGCAACCCCACATAATCCAGAGTAAGGTTGGGCTAAACCACTGGACCATGTAACCTGATTGGTGCTTCTTCTGTCTTTTAGGTGGGTGGGGTGGGTGGGGGGGGGGGGGCACCCAGAAGAATAAATAAGCTCTGATTTTAATTTTAGCTGAACCTTCAGCTTTTCCTGCCATCCACAGCTTACATCTCAGCTAATGTACCTTGACACGGGCTGTCTCTCCACAGATTTGTAAGGGAGGTCTCTATGTCCATGGCTGCTTCGCTCCACTTGAACACCAGCCCAGAAGAGAAGGGTGAGCACTGCTTTTCCATGGTGCGTATCTCACTGAAGTTCAGCACCCGATTCCAAATGTGCAGCTCTGTGATGCTTCCGCAGAGAGACTCGGCTGACTTAAACGAGCCTCCAAACGAGTCCTGCTCCTGACCGATGATGAAAAGGCCATCAGGGCCAATGCTGTCATTACTGTTTAGGCCTTCACCAACAAAGACCTGATCACCATTAGCATAAAGGGCCCAGTGTCCACCATCCTGACTCCAAGAGACACAAACTGAGTGCCAGGACTCATCATGTTTGAAGGCCTCCACATAAGACCCGTGATTGCCGTGGATCAGTAGAGCCAAACGAACAGGCTTGCCCCGCTCCAGGTTTGCTCTGAGCTGGAACTCGTTAATGTAGGATGGGATAGAATAGGAGAAGATGGTGGAAATTCCAGAGCATTTTGGAGGAAAGTATAGCTGGGTGCAAACGGTCACAGAGTCCATGGAGGTGAACTTGTGCCGAAGGCGTGCATACTTCCTGTTAGAGTGTCCAGAGAACTCCAGAATCAAGGACTTGGAGGAACCTTTAGTTTCACCTTAGAAAGGGCAAAGAAAGTGGAAAGCTTAGTTAACTTTTGGAACAAATAAGGAAATAAAATTAAACTCTTGGAGTTATGTTAGTGCTGTAAAGAACAGGGAAATGTGATAACTGAACCAGATTAGGCTAAATCTGTGGGCTTAAGAAATAGACAACTACTGAGACCGGTATGTAGTAAAAAAAAAAAAAAGACCCCTTGTATGTAAATAGAAGTTACAACTAATGGAGTACTGGACTTACTTGTCAGAGGTTTCAAGATTTCCCTGGCAACCCACACAGGCTGAGAGATGTTCAGGGATTTTAGAAAGCTGGCTAGTCCTTGGTTCTCTGTTGGGTTGGAGACAGTGGCTAAGGCGCCAGAGCGCTGCTTACACAGCTCCTCCGAGGCCTTCCATTGGAGGAGATCAGGAACGTACTCATAGTAAGACTCCTCATATGCCTCCGATCTGGCTTCCACAGTATAAGCTGTCAAAGAGGATAGACAAACAAATCCCTGACGGACAAAACTGGAGAAATTCACATCTTTGACTGAATTCTGAACCGATTCAGATTTTCTCAAATGTAATTATGGGGACTGAAAACAATCAAACTGCACAGCCTTTTGAATTCTTGTAGAAGGAAAAACTGTTTTAAAAATGAATGACCTTGTTGTTAATGAATAAATAACTGAATTATACCATGGGAGTTTATGCTAGCCAACATCATAAGCATTACGGTTTTCAGTTCATCTGTTGCAAAGAGCCAGAAAAATCAACTCACTCTTTTAATGCACACATTTCAAACATGTATTAAAGGGACAAGTAAATAGTAGAAACAAGCCACAAATACTGTCAACATTAAAAACATCTGTAAGAAACACCTTAATTAAAGCTAAACATTCCATCTCAAGCGCTCATTCTAATATAGAAATGTTCCTCAGTGTAAAATCTAGTAAAAATGGATCTGCTTGTGTGAGTCTGTGTAACATTTTAATCCTTTTAGTCATTTTAATGAGCAATAATGGCGTCTTTCTGTGTTCAGTGCTGAGCTTGCAAGCCAACAAATAAAAATTAAAAAAGCTTAATCTGTGCAACAGTTTGGATGACACCTTAAAATACATTTTATGACTAATGTTATTGTTTTGAGTGAAACTACTGAGATATAAGATTAGCTTAAAGGAACTAGATTATGTAAAATCTAATTTTTGTTGGTTTTGACCATGTTATTTTGTTAAGTTCTCATAAAAAACACCCCAAAGCAATTTTTTTTTTTTTTTTTGCTTCATGCATATGCTTTCCCTCTGCTCTGCTAAGCCATTGCAAATAGCTGGATGGGGCATTGTTGTGCCATCATGCCAGCTCTTGCCCATCCAGGGAGCTTCCCTGGACTGTAAACACTAACACACACTCTCTCCTTGTAGCTAGCAGGGAGTTTAATCGCCACAGTTATGGAGAAGTGATTTCTTTATTATCTAGTCTGCAATTTAAATAATGCCTAGAATCAAATAATTATTTTTGACAGCAAGAGGTACAGGATCCCTGTCCAGCTTCCTAGAAAATGAGTTTAATCAGCAGAAATTGTTAGATTTTATCTTCAAGAGCTCTCAAAAACTGAGAGGCAGACTGCTTGAGAGGGTTTTCAGACAGATAACTTTTTCAAACCGGCGCCATTCTAACGTTAAACCACCCGATGGATAAGCCAGAGTGGTGAGTACAACCCAAATCCTAACCCTAAACCTAAAAAAAATCACTGTGTGGGACATGCCGGCATGAATCTACAGCAAGTGTGAATCAAGCATGAGTCTTCAGCCAAATACTATAGAGAAATTCACAAAGGTGGAGGCGCGATTCCATCAAATCCAAATGTATTTTGCCAGGGTGAAGGAAAGGGACATGAAAATAACTTTTTTAATTGAAATCTCAATAATGCTAGCAGTAATATTTTATCATTTGTTGTGCCTATCGTTGCTGCAGAAGGTGTAAAATAGCATGATACAGCCCCTTTAAATTGTTTTACCTGAAAAACAAAAATATTGAAAAAATAATTTTTTAAAATGAAGATGTAAAAGCTTCAAGATTAAGAAAGAAATAAATCACAAACTGGCCACTTCATTAAGTACAACTTGCTGGGTTTAGACCCTTTTTACTTTCAGAACTGCTCCGATTCCTCATGACTACAGGAAACGTTACTCTGAGACTTTGCTCCATATCGACACGACAGCATCGTTCAGCTGATGCTGCTCCACGTCCAATATGTGAATCTACCATTCTATATTGAGATCAAGGCAAGGCAAGGCTACTTTATTTGTATTGCACCTTACAACAATATAAAACCGACCAAAGTGTTTCACAGAAATCAAAAACATCAAAAACACACAACATAAAATGCACAAAGACTAAAACTTAAGAACTAACATTAAAAAGATGCATGCTGAGTTAAAAGCCAAATCATAAAGATAGGTTTTCAAAAGAGATTTAAAACCAGGCAGTGGAGGCAGAGACTATTAGAGTCCAGGGAAGTTCTTGTTGAATTCAAGAAAGCAGTTAGATGATCTGAGCTTTGTTACATGGTGTGTTATCCTGATGGAAGTAGCCATCAGAAAAATGGGTTCACTGGTCATAAAGGGGTGGACTTGGTCAACAACAATATTCAGTGGTTATCCGTGCTTCAATTATATCAAGACTGGATTAATGCAATGTGTAGTATGCTGGAGTAAATCAGTGTCAATAAAGAGGCTTGTCCAAAACTCTGCAGAAAGTTTTTACCAGGGAAAGAAACCACATAAAGCCTGTCCTGGTGACTTTGCACTGGCTTCTGGTGCATTAACGGACCAGTTTTTAAATCCTGGTGTACGTCTTTAAGCCATTGCAGGGTTGCACTTGCAACTTCAGACTTGCTGGGCAGGTCCCTGTTGGACTTCAAAAATGGAGCCGATGTGCCGGGCACTGCAGTCTGCTTCCTGCACGATTCCTGCATGTTTTATACCATGGCCACAGCTAGCTGAGAAGACATTTCAGCCTTTAGATTAAGATTTTAAAAAGACGAACACACAACGAGGAGATAAGTTTCGCTTTTGCTTTGACTAACAGACACGAGGGGGTGATAAAAGCAAGCCAAAACTGCAAAACATTCCTTTAATGTTTTCACTCTGTTCTTCTTTTGTTTTGACTGTTTAAATTTTGAGCTCTGTTCAGCACTTTAGACCACCTTGGCAGTTGTCGAATGCTCCTCATAAACAGTGGACACCACGGCACAAGTGCTGATGGGTGCTAATGCTAAAAAAAAAACATTTGTCAACTGAAAGACCACAGACAGAGTGCTTGGACGTCAATATAAACAACCCAACAGAAACAAAATTCAAAAGTTTGTCCTCAAACAGTTACTCATTAATCACAGCGCTCAAGTAACCTTTTCTCTAAGTTATTTTTTTCACTCTTCTGTAATTATTTGTGTCACTACCGTTTACATACCACCCACCTCTTATCAAAAGCATATTCGCACACATTTGGATGCTGTTTGGTTGAGACGTGCAGCTGGACCCTTCGTTTACAACACTGCCTCATGGATAACTCTACATCTGAGCGCTGCTAGTATCAACTCGTAATTCTCAAACATAGAACCTTTCCGAACAGCAAAATGTATGGAACAAATATATGTGCACCCTTTGATCTGCTCCACACTGTGAAAATCCACTCTTCCACATACAGATACTGTCACCGCTTTATCTTTAGCCTGGCTTGTTTCTGTATCCAGATACAGTGGCGGCTCATCCATAGGGGGCGCTAGGGTGCCGTCCTACCAGTCTCACAGGAAGAACATAGGAATCACAAAATATATGTAAAAAAAAACATGAAAATTAAACTAAACGATCTATACATCATGCAGACTACAAGTGATGTGCATAATCTGCATTTAAGTGTAGTTTAAAAATGTTACTTACACTTTTTACACTAATGAATCGTCTTGTGACGTATTTCCTGTTACTTTTGGGCACAGCAGTCTCTACCATAGACCTACGCTAACTGGTGCTGCATGCTGGATCCCCCTCGTCCAATACAAAGAATAGGAGAGCCTTTGAGTGCAAGGGTACAGCATCCGTGAAGATACACACAGAAGACTGGCAGAGCAGAGTCTCAGCTCAGGTCAGGACAGAACTGACATGCTCTTTTCTGCTAGCCTGGCCTGCCAGACTCGTCCTCTGTTTAATTGTGCACAGAGAAAGAGTCTGGGAACTCACGAGCAAAGAGGTACTTGAGGGGTGAGACTAGGCAGCTCAAAAATAACCAATCAGAAAAAAGATGGAAATGCAGACTGTACCGCACGACGTTGTGGGCTTTTAGCTGTAGTAAAAAAAATAAGGCGTCTGGCAACGGCGCAAAGATCTTTTTTTTTTTAAGTAGAAATGCTTTTAAGGCTTCTACTTAAAGACATTCAAGTCAATTAGAACAGAGGAAAGAGCCGCAGCAACCTCCACCACTGTCTTAGTTGTTTATGACGAACAGCGTCGCTGTGTATGACGTCTGCGACGCTGTAGATTTTTAGCTGTAGTCAAAATTATTGGCTTGGTTAGAATTCTCACGGGGTGGGGTTATTTGAATAGGAGAGTTCCCAGACCCTTTCTCTGTGCAGAATTAAACAGAGGAGTCTGGCAGGCCAGGCTACTTTTCTGCACAATACCTGCTAAAAGGATAAAAAGGATAAAAAAAACAATTTTCATTCCAACATCGGATCTAGAGTCCGGTTAGCACCTCCTCTAACAGAGGTCCTTTTCCTTTCACGTTTGAACATATTTAGGAGACGAAAATACAATTTTGTGAAGAGCTGAGCGACTCAGACCCATAGGCACCCAACATATAGTTAGCTTGTCTAGGGCTACATCCCACAACGCATTGCACCTTTCCACCACAATCTATTTTTAGCTATTGTAGAATACCCTATTGTGCAGATGTACTTAACAAAGTGAGCAGTGGCCGAAAATACTGAGTAAATAAATACCACGATAAAACAAATGACAATTACACATAATATTGAATGTACAAAAATTTGAATGCAAAATAACAAGGACAAATAATTATTGTTGCCTTCTTTTAGTTAGAAAATCTTTTCTGTTGACTTTGCTGGAGGGGTTAGGAGAAAACTTTAGATGAACCGTGGAAGTGTTAGTTTTTGAGAAAATGACTTACCTGCTAAGAAGCTGCGAAAACAAACCTGAAACACAAACGATGTGCGAGTTTAGACACTAAACCTAAAGCTTACGAGAACACCTGCGTTTAAGAAAGCCTCGTTTGTCTTGGTGAACAGATAAACCATGAATATATATATATATATATACACGTTCATGTTAAAAAAACCAGATTAGTTCTAACAAAAACAGCCTACCTCACTCTGTAAAGACGAAAAAAACCGTAATTTTTTTCAGGTTAAAAAGATGAAGGCGGTTAAAAAAACACTAATCTGAATAATTTTTAAAAAGACAAATACTTACAAGTAAATTTAAACTGGAGAAAAGTGACCAGTACATCCTGTGAAGACACGTGTTGTTAGCTGGGAAACAAATGTTGATAGAATAAAGTTCCTCGGTGGTTTCAGATGATTGTATCCGATTGTTTATCCTTTTTGCGCGTTTTCTCATTTCAGTCGAGTCGTGTCCGTGAACGCAACATCTCTTCTCTCCTGCAGAGGGTTAGTCAACGGTTTTCTTCTTTTCTGTCGGAGCTCTTGTTGATTCCTGAGCATGAAGAAGAGGATGAAGAGGGCTGGGTGTAACCTCCAGCCAGCAGCAGCGGGAGGGTGGGTAAATGATGGTTCAGGGACCCCTGTGGCATCTAATGGGTCTGGACTGGCTTTGTACAATTACTAATGCGTTACTCTGTTTGGATGAATAAAGCCCCATTTACTGCAGTAAACACATCAGGCGTTCGGTGAGAACAGCTGGTTTAATTACCCATTTATTAGCAGGTGAGATCAAAGTTAAAATAGCATTGGGTATGTGTTTGTGGCACCAGAATGTTGGAGAATGGTCCAGGAACAGCCTGAAAGGACACATATGATCCTCTGAGAATCCACGTGCGTTAATTCTAATTGTGTAAGTGGCTATAATAATTCAGCACATCATTTTTTTATAAAAGTATAGAAATGTGATATATTCTTTACATAAATATAAAAAAAACTAAAATATACAAATGTTTCCTAAATTTAATCCAAGATACAAACTATTATATAAAAATAAAACATGCAGAAAAAATTTGTTTTCCATTTTTTTCTTTTCCTAAGCATAAGCTGCTAAACATTGGTCATACATGTTAAAATTAATGAAATCATGTAGACAACTTTCTGTAGAAGATTGAAAATATACAAGACAACATCAACCGTTTAGCACACAATAATAATCTGAGCTTCAGCTCATGCATGTGTCAACAAAACAACAGAAAGAATGAAATACACCAGCCTCTACGGTCAGATACCATGCATTTTTCCTGTTATCATATTTTACTTGTAAGAAAAGCAGATTTTATTAGGACAGAAACATTACACCCAGTGTGGACCACCGCTGCTCTTCTCGTCAGGACAGAGGAAGTACACAGTCTTACTCACAACCCGGTTTCTGACTGTGCTGTGTGTTTCAACCCTCTCTTTGGTAAAAAAGTCATTTTCTATACTTTTCTCTGAGTCAGTTGAACTTCTGCTCTCATCTGCCCCCTGATGGACCCAAGAGGAGGAGAACAAGGACTGCAGGGCAGCGTGGAGCTCGTCTCGTGCAGATATCGTGGTCTGAAGACAGGGAAGCTGCAGAGACAGGGCCTCTGGTCCATCATTAGATGGACCTATGATTAAATGGTCAACAGCCTTAGCAGAAGAGGGGATCAGCTCGCTGCAGCCGCTCAGGTCAGTCTCCTTACCTGTAGGGATAACGGGATTCAGTTCAAAGTGACACAATGGCCAGAAAACAGGAAGATCAAGATAATATTATTCTAATTCGGGGAAAACAATCCAGTAGCTCCTAATCCACTTCATTCATCCAGACTTATGTCAAAGGATGTGAAAAAACATTTTCAGTTCAACTTTGAAGGGAGTGGTCACTGCAAATAAAAGTTGAATTACTTCCCAGAATTAAAATTTCCCACTTAATTAAAAAAATGATGGAAAACAGCTAACGTCGCTGCTCAGAGGTGACTGGACGGTGTTGTTCCCTGTGGTCGGTAGCTGCTGGTGTCGACTCCAACCAGCTGTGGTTTTGGGATATTTAAAGACCAAGTCTCTCTGGTTAAGATTCAGTTAAATTCCTAAGCTGTGTGGAAGTCCATCGTTTTACCTCGCAGGGCTGTAGACAAACAGGAACGCAGCTGTTGGACTGCCTGGGTCAGCTGAAACAATCTGGTAGATGTAGCCATCAGCCTCTGGAAGAGAGCAGCCTCCTCCTCCTCCCCCTGTGCCTCCTCCAGCTCGGGTTTTCTTTCCTGATTGAAAACAGATGACTAATATTCAGCATGAAATGTAAAAATCCCACCGATGTGTGCTTGTTACAAATACATCGGAGCAGAAACCCGTGCTACATCTCTTCACAGGAGATCCTGACAGACATAACTCTGTTTTATCTGACACGTACAACCAAAACACTTAAGCGCCACCTGGTTACACATCAAAACGCTGCCACTTTGTGTGCTCAAGATAACTTCAAACAAGCCCGTTAGCTGTGACTTATGCCTCTCATTCAACGCATTCAATACGCGAACGATCGCCGAGGGACGAGTGCAGGGAGATAAGCTCAGAGAGCTTTACAGGAGTAATAAAAGCCGAGCGGCATCTTTAACGGGGTTGCTGCGGGTGCGGGATTCATCTGTTACATTTTAACTCAGGTCATGATTGAGGAACCGTTTTGGCTGAGCGTGCATCCACTGTTTTTCAGTCAAAGTTAGACAGTCTGCCCAAAAAAGGTTAGAAATGCTTAAAATGTGTACTAAAACCCACCGAAATATGACAATGAATGTAGCTCTGCAGGGCACGGGCCATGTCGATCGCTTTGGATTTTAGGTTTTGAAGGACCTGTAAGCAAACACAATGAAAGGAAGTGACACCTGTTTCACCAATTAGTCAAAATGTGCTAATGAACATTCTGTGAAAGGATGTAAACAGTAGGTTCTGCTGCAAAGATGATAATTAAAACTGAAGTTAAAACGTTTTAACTGAAAACGTCTTACTGGGGCTCTGGGATAGGCCAGCTGAGCCTCTCTCAGCATCTCCCTGGCGACGGTGAGATTCTCCTCCAAGAGAGAGCCGACACCCTTACTGGTTCCTTTCAGCAAAGGAAATATCACAGATTTCTGGAAGGAAAAATAGAGTTAACCAAGACATTTCACATTTTAACTCCCCATTTTAACATTTAAAGGCCAGGTAGAAGAATCAGGAAAATAAAAAGCTAAACACAAATTTTAATTCATCATTTGTATTTGAGGATCTTTCATGGATGTAAATTCAAAGAGTCTGAGTACCCGGCCCGGAGGGTTACCAGGGTCCCACCCTGGAGCCAGGCCTGGGGTTGGGGCCCGTGAGCGAGCGCCTGGTGGCCAGGCTTTCGCCCATGGGGCCCGGCCGGGCCCAGCCCGAACCGGACACATGGGCTCATCCAACTGTGGACCCACCACCTGCAGGAGGAACATGAAGGGTCCGGTGCAATGTGGATCGGGTGGCAGACCGAGGCGGGAGCCTTGGCGGTCCGATCCCCGAATAAGGAAACTGGTTTTTGGGACATGGAACGTCACCTCGCTGGAGGGGAAGGAGCTTGTGGCAGAGGTTGAGCGGTACCGGCTAGATATAGTCGGACTCACCTCAACACATAGCATTGACTCTTGAACCCAAGTCCCTGAGAGGGGTTGGACACTCTCCTTTGCTGGAGTTGCTCCAGGTGAGAGGCGGAGGGCTGGGGTTGGACTTTTGTTAGCCCCGAGACTCTCTGCCTGTGTGTTGGGGTTTATCCCGGGAGACGAGAGGGTAGCTTCCCTGCGCCTTCGGGTCGGGGAACGGGTCCTGACTGTTGTTTGTGCTTATGGGCCAAATATCAGTTCAGAGTACCCACCCTTTTTGGAGTCCCTGGGATGAGTGCTAGATAGTAATCCATCAGGGGACTCCATTGTCCTGCTGGGGGACTTCAATGCTCACGTGGGCAATGACAGCTTGACCTGGAGGGGTGTGATTGGGAGGAACGGCCCGCCTGATCTGAACTCGAGTGGTGTTTCGTTATTGGACTTCTGTGCAAGCCGCAGTTTGGCCATAACGAACACCATGTTCGAGCATAAGGATGCCCATCGGTACACTTGGTACCAGGGCAGCCTAGGTCGCAGGTCGATGATAGACTTTGTAGTCGTATCATCTGACCTGCGGCCGTATGTTTTCGACGCCCGAATGAAGAGAGGAGCGGAGCTGTCAACTGATCACCACCTGGCGGTGAGTTGAATCAGATGGCAGGGGAAGATGCCGCGTAGACCTGGCAGACCCAAACGCATAGTGAGGGTCTGCTGGGAACGCCTGGCAGAAGAACCTGTCAAGAATGTCATCAACTCCCACCTCCGGCAGAGCTTTGACCGCGTCCCGAGAGCAGTGGGGGACATCGACTCCGAGTGGGCCTTGTTCCACGCTGCGATTGTTGAGGCGGCTGTTGCTAGCTGTGGTCGCAAGGTGGCCGGTGCCAGTCGTGGTGGCAACCCCGTAACCCCCCCCCCCCCCGGTGGACACCAGAGGTTCGGGGAGCCGTCAGGCTGAAGAAGGAGGCCTACAGGGCGTAGCTGGTCTGTGGGTCTCCGGAGGCAGCAGACAGGTACTGGATAGCCAAGCGGGGTGCCTCACCTGCTGGAGCCTGTTGCGCACCGTTGCGCACTGGATCAGGCCCTCGTTTGAGCTCCTCTGCCCTGCCATCACCTGCTGCAACCTGTGGCACGCTGTTACAGCCGGCTTCAACCCAGGAATGAGCTCTCCTGTCCCACTGGGAGGGTTTCAAACACTGCCATCCTCTGCTGGAGACAGTGGCGCGCTGCTGCACCCGCGTTGTTTATTCTGTTATTGTTACCGGTATTTGTCATGCAATGTGAAACGCTTGGTCTCAGATTTTGTAAGAAAAAATAAAATTTCCCCCCAAAATGTGACTTATAGTCCATTGCGACTTATATGTTTTTTTCTTCTTCATTATACATTTTATGGCTGGTGCGACTTATACTCCGGACTGACTTATAGTCCGGAAAATACGGTACATAGCTCCACCCACTCCTGCCATCATACATTAGACCTTGTGCTGACTAATGGCACAACAGTATTTCCACATAATCCAGTCCTCAGACCACTTTTTGATAACCTTTGAGTTTTTTATAACTGAGTTCTTGAGACATGCAAGTAAATTTCACTATAGTCGGTCTCTATCTGACAACGCTGTTGCATCTTTTAAATCAACTGTTCCATCTTTAGAGGAACGTAGCAGAGGGCAATATTTTCATTTCTAGCCGCTCACAAATTGATTATCTAGTAAGTTCATAATGTTACTTCTTTACGTGTGGCATTAGATGATGTTGCCCCTTTAAAAAGGAAGGTAATTAAGCACAGGAAGTTTGCTCCCTGGTTTAATTCTGATTTTCGAACTTTAAAACAAAACTCTAGAAAATTGGAGAGAACATGGCACTCTACACATCAGGAGGAGTCCTACTTATCCTGGAAAAATAGTCTTGTGCTTTATAAAAATACGCTTCGAAAAGCTAGAACTGCTTATTTTTCCATCGCTAATTGAGGAGATTAAGAATAATCCTAAATTTATTTTCAGTACAGTTGCCAAACTTACACAGAATCATAGCTCTGAACCATCTATTCCATTAGCCCTCAGCAGCAACGACTTTATGGGATTTTTCACGAGTAAAATTAATTCTATTAGAAACAAAATCATCCTCCCTAATGCGATTTCTTCTTCCTCAGTAAGCGAGGCAGCATCAGAGGTAACTGTAGAACCTCATCTGTGCTTGAACCGTTTTGATCCAGTTGAGTTTTCAGAGTTATCAAAAATATTAGCGTCATCTAAACCTTCAACTTGCAATTTAGATCCAATCCCAACCAAATTATTTAAAGAAGCATTTCCTTTGGTTACTGCCCCCATTCTAGATATAATCAATCTATCCTTAGTAAATGGATACGTACCACAGGATTTTAAGGTTGCTTTAATCAAATCTTCACTTAAGAAGCCTTCTCTGGATCCAGATGACCCAATGACTTATAGACCAATATCTAACCTTCCATTTTTATCCAAAGTCCTGGAGAAAATAGTGGCCATCCAAGTATGTGAGCATTTAAACACTAATGATCTGTTTGAGGAATTTCTGTCTGGTTTTAGAGAGTATCACAGCACTGAAACTGCATTAGTGAGAGTTACAAATAATATTCTCATGGCCTCAGATAAGATCTTGTGTCTGCTCTAGTCTTGTTAGATCTCAGTGCTGCCTTTGACACAGTTGATCACAATGTTCTTTTAGAAAGGCTTGAACATGTTGTAGGGATCAAAGGAACAGCGCTAGGCCGGTTTAAATTCTACCTGTCTGACAGATTTCATTTTGTAAATGTACATGACAAATCTTCTTCATACTCCAGGGTTAATTGTGGAGTACCACAGGGTTATTAGGTAATTCATTACTCTCAGGAAGTCCACAGAATGTAGTTAAAAGTCTTCAGCTTGTCGAAAATGCTGCAGCTAGAGTTCTAATGAGAATTAAAAAGAGAGATCATATCTCTCCTGTCTTAGCTTCCCTACATTGGCTACCTGTTAAATTCAGAATAGATTTTAAGATCCTTCTTCTCACATATAAAGCTCTTAATAATTTACTCTCTTTGACATTGAATGTGCTACTACTAGTTTATCCGTTTAATTATAGATTCACTAGAATAAATACAATAAAGTTTATCTCTCACCAAATAGAATATTTACTAAGAAATCACAATGTAACCATAGAAACATTACTTGGTGTGTGTGTGTGTGTGTGTGTGTGTGTGTGTGTGTGTGTGTGTGTGTGTGTGTGTGTGTGTGTGTGTGTGTGTGTGTGTGTGTGTGTGTGTGTGTGTGTGTGTGTGTGTGTGTGTGTGTGTGTGTGTGTGTGTGTGTGTGTGTGTGTGTGTGTGCGCTCTGTCTTCTCGATCCCCAGTGAGTCATGGAGGATGGCTGCTTATACTGAGCCAGGATCCTCTGGAGGTTTCTTCCTGTTAAAAGGGAGTTTTCCTCTCCACAGTCGCTAAATGCTTGCTTAGTATGAGGATTGCTGTAAAGACTGACACTAGTCAGTGACTTGATGCAATTTGCTGGGTTCCTTATATAGCAGGGGTGGGGAACCCTGGTCCATCAAGGGCCAGTATCCAGCACATTTTAGATTTAAACCTGCTTCAACACACCTGATTTCAATCAGCAGGTGATTAACAGGCTTCTGCAGAGCCTGATGAGCTGCTGAACAGGTGAATCAACCACTGAATCAGATGTGTTGGAGCAAAGACATGCAGGATACCGGCCCTCGAGGACCAGGGTTCCCCAGGAAACTTTTTACTGACTGGCTTAATGAACTGACCTGTATTAGAATGTTTACTGTGACGTACCTTGAGACGACTCTTGTTGTGATTTGGCACTATACAAATAAACTTGAATTTTTAATGATTGGATCATGATCCCTCCCCCCTTAGCGCATACCCCTCTATTTGCATGAATCGCGTGCTGTCGGTTTGCAGCAGCAGCTGAACAGGAAGCAAAGTCAGAACCAGGCTAGCGATGAAGCCGAATCTTCCTGCAGAGCTTTAAGAGAGTAGCTGGTGTTACCTTGCCCGTGGGCTGAGAGCCAAGCCTGGTGATGTTCAAAGCCATGCCCGTCACCACTGCCAGGTGGCCAAGAGCAGCTGCTGCAGCATCCAGGCTCTGACTGCTCATCCTGCGTGCTTCTACCACCATGGATGTGATCTCAGATTCGCAACCCTGGATCGGGTAGAAAAATACATTTAAAAAAACAAACCCACATCAGGCCAGAATAAACAAACTAGTGGAATTTAAATTGATTTATAAGTGAATCGATGTGAACCAGCACAACAGTCGGCAAATTCTGAAGGGCCAGTAAATAAATTAAAACAGTGGAAAGCCTTAAAAATCAGGACTGAGAGGTGAAAATTGTCTGTTTAGGTGCTGAAACTTGGAAGGAATTTAGATTTCTCTCCATATATTCATGCTCTGTGCACGGCTCAAGGTTGCGAATTCCCTCAGCTTCGTAGTCCGAGCTCAAACAGCTCACAGCTAAGACCCGTCAATCAGCTCTGCATTTTGATAAGACAGCCCGTCTCCAAACTACATCTAATTGTGACCATTTTGTCAGGATAGACTTTGCACTCTTTACAACTATTATATAAACAGAAATCACCAAGAAAACTCTCTTTACCTGAATAAGCATCTGGAAGAATCCTCCCATCTTCTTAACTTGGCTCTTGAGTTCTTCAGTGATGGTGCAGAACACAGATGAGGGTTTGATGCTGGCCGCCCAGCGCACGGTGGCAAACACAGCGCTCTCTATGGCTGTGGTGGCCTTTACCAGCTCGGTTTGGGCCAACACGTTACCCGAAAACACTGCAGGAGAAATTACAACAAACCAAAATAATAAAGGTTTGATCCCAAATAACTGCAACACAGTTCCAGGTTCAGCTGAGACCCACCGCTGTCCTGACTGTCTTCATCCAGACTTTCATACAGGTCAGAGATTATTTGGACTGCCCCGAATAGCTGATTCAGATCTGAGATCAGTCTATCTGCCAGACTCTCCTCTGTCCCGCTGCGCAGCCGAGCCATGGATAGGCCAATCAGCTCCTTGCAGATGCCAGACATGGCAGGGTCAGAGGTGCTGCTGTGGGTGGAGGGAGGCTGGACCACACCCATCAACCCTGGGGTTCATAAAGATGGCATCAAGAAGAGTTTTGGTGAGTTCATGTAACAACTGTACAGCCGGATTCATTTGAACTTTGAAGTGTAATAAACTTTAAATTAGCCTCAGTGGCTGAAGCTTCTTACCAGCAGAGTGTGACGAGCTGCTGAGGCTCTGGATCGGATGGACCCGGATCTCATAAAGACGCCCAGAGATTCTCTTGCTTTTCAGAAGACTCCGGCTCCTGGAGTCCAACCAAACAGAAACGTCAGCGGTTTATATTCATCGTTTTCTAAAACATTTAGTTTATACACAGAATGTCTAAACAACATGAGAGGTACTTGTTTGTTTTTAAATATAATCGCTCATGCAGAGATCACATGTAGACCGAATGTGAAAATAGTCTTCTGTCCCCGTTTCCTCTTCTACATCTCAGGGAAAGTTTGCAATCGTGACTCCGCCCACCTTGACTCACGACTGCGGAAGGCTGTGATGATTTAGCAGCCAGGAGAGAGTAGAGCTAGCCTAGAAATCTAGACCGATCGTAACAGAAGCAAAACGATTTTGCTCTGCATGGTGGTCTAGCCACACTCCATAAGAACCTCAGCAGGTCCACCATTAGCCTGGACAGTGTTGCGTCTTTCCAATCACAGCGCTATAAGTTTGGGATTGAGTGGAACAATAAAGATGGTGGTGGTTTGTTTGAAATGGCTTTGGCATCACCTTTGAACTATTTAGACTTGGGCTTTTCTTTGAGTCAAGAGCAGATAGAGGTATTCAAGTCCTTTATTTAGAAAAAGGATGTATTTGTGTCTTCTTCAGACAGTGTATGGTGGACTGCCCCGTTGACTGACATCCGTAGTGATGAGCACATCACATTGTTCTGTAACGTGATGAAGGAGCCATTTCTACCCAACAGCTGTTTCCTTTTGACAGTGTCAGTGTGCATGAAACAGCCTCAAGGTCATGCATTTGCTTCCAAACTGTTTACATTCCAGCATGAAGACAGAAGAAAGAAGAATGAACTCTTTTCTTTTAATTAATCAAAGAACTCTATTTTAATAAAGCTAATCCATCAAAGTGTTAGTCAATAATAAGATGTGACCGATCTGTGAAATTAAAATATTAATTATTTTATTATGATCTTAGAAATGAAGAAATGTCACTTTAAATGTTCCAACAGGACTAATTTCACGTAGTGTTAAAAAGACATGACACATTCTTTCACTGATCCAATCAGAACTTTACAGATCTGACGGAGGCGTGCTTCTGACGGTGTTTGGTAATTTTCATTCGACAATAAACCATAACATCCGAGGTATAAAACTACGCCACGTCAGCTCGAACGCCAGTTCAAAGCGTTCCAGAGCAAGCGTCGGAGTGGCCAATCCGACCTTTAACTCTTCAACCGAAAGAACCTCGACAAGCTGAAAAATCCAGTCGCTATAACAACCAGCGACCACAACAGCTCCTTTCAGAATAAAAGCTCCACCGACCCAGGCTGGGTCTGAACAGACACCAATAAAGAGTTGTGTGCCGGAGGTAACTCGAGACAGGTCTGGTCGAAACCGCGGCTGCTTCTACCGGCTCGGTTTCCAGAGAGGGTCCGATAGGGCCTCGGCATTCCTGATCTACAGAGGACTTCCACAAGGCAGGTAGACCGACTTGATGGTGTCTCATGCTGGTTCTGAAACTAACCCAAGCTTATTCCAAACCAACATCTTCAGTTCCCGTCAGAACTAATCGCTTCTTCGGATTTGCTGGTTCTGATTTACATGACACGTCATCCATTCACCGCCTCATCCATTTTTAGTAACACTACACACTTAGTTGTTAAATAAGCCTAGTTTAATCGTTAGTAATAAAATTCTTAACTTTTAAACTTGACTCTCTATTCTGTCGTCTCTGAGTGAATACATAACGGTTACATAATCTCTGCATTAAAAAGATCCGACCTTCTGATTTAAATAACCCCCGATCCGTGAGGCGGATTTCATACTTCCTATGGAATCCCACGCCTTACGGCTCATTAATTAAAATGTAAGAACCTCTCATTTTCCCTTACAGTTCTTTGTCCAATAACATGTGGAGACCGTTTGAAAGACAACCACCCCACAACTGAAACCTGTCTGTGGGTCGTGGCCAGACTATACATTCATGTTTATAAGAGTTGCTTTTAACCAATCAGAGGGCAGACGTTCGCATATCAGTATCAAAGAGTACGGCTTGTAATCTTGGGTGTTTTCCACCCCGACATGCCTCCAACCAACTTCTGCTTCCTAAAACAGGAGCGCCAAAAATCGCTTCACAAGGCATTCATTCATACTAGAGATCACCTTAACAGCCTGCAGCTCAAACTGCAGTTAGTCAAGATTTCCTCCTTTTAAAGTCACACTTATGTGGAATCCTAGATGGCATCCATCTGGAGTTGTTTTGTTTACAAACAACACAGGCGCTGCTGGTCACAGAGTGCATTTCTTTCATTCAGTGAAAGCAGGAAAATGAGCTTTAAAAACTGTGAGGGTGATTTAAATTAAATTAGGTGTGTTTGTTGTGAAAATTTGCAGGAAAACATGAGAAAGTTAATTTACAGGGATTATTCCAGAAGTGGGGAGGAGATTAAACAGCAGTGATTATGGTTGTGAAGTACATGTGCATTAGTTTAACGGGGTCAAAGAAAAAAAGAAAAGTATGACAGGCCCACAAACTGTAGCGTGTTTTATTTGGGCTGGATCTGGTGCCGATCTGGGCACCAGCAGGAGTCCACGCCAAGAACAACAACGGAACTGTTAGAGGAAAAGTTTCTGCATTCACAACAGGTTTTCCGTGCGTGCGTGCGTGCGTGCGTGTGTGTGTGTGTGTGCACATGTTCCGTTTAAGAGCTGTGAACTGAGAAACGGAGACCTTTCATTGCCTTTCCAAATGTCTTTTTTGGCTTTTGTGAACATGAGATGAATAAACAGAGGAAATACAACAAGGTGGAAAATATTCAGCAGGCATAAAAAAAAAAAAAAGAACAGCTCAGGGTCCTAAATACGAGCCAGGTTGTAAATTGCACTGTGGGAACCCAGAGGACCTTGTCAAAATAGCCAAATTCTTTTAAAGTTTTCTATTTAAAGTCCTTTTTTAGTTTCTTCTTGCGCATGAAGTAAAAAGCTGAACACGAGGACAGTTCATTCAGAAGAAAAATAACACTCATCAGAACGGCTCTCACGTTTCTGACGACTTTCCTCGTTTCACACAGCTGACGAGGAATACCAAGCAACTGCAGAAGTTTTAAAAGCCCCATAAATAAAACCCACTAAAAGACGGGCTGAAGGATGAGGAGACGAGCGGGATAATTACCTTCGACGGGAAAAGGAGGCGGAGGAGGCTGATATATCTTGCTCCCACTCATCATCAGGGTCGTAAAACACATCGTCATCTTTAGAGGTGGGATCCCCCTGTGGAGAGTAAAGTACTGCTGACAAGCCCAGTCACACTGACTCAACTTAATGAGAAAAGCGCAGCAAAGTGAGGCGGCGTTCCTCTGCCGGGCATAAAACACGTCGTTCTGGACTGTAAATAAGGTCAAACGGCAGGGAAATTGGCAATTAAGTGGAGCGGATGTCGTGTGAATATGCAGAATGAGGAAGAGCGGCGCCGTCTATCTTACTCAACACACATCATGCATGATCTCAGTGTAGCACAGGCTAAATGAAGTTTACACAGCTCTGTGTCAACTCTTACATTCTAATGTGTGTGCTCCACATTCCTACAGACTATAGACATGAACTACCTAATACAGGGGTGGGCAGTCCTGGTCCTCGAGGGCCGCCATGCAGCAGATTTTAGTTGTTTCTCTGCTTAAACACACCTGGCTTGAATGCACTGGTGATTAACAGGCTGCTGCAGAGTCTGATGAGGTGCTGAGCAGGTGATTCATCCAGGAATCAGGTGTGTTGGAGCAGGAAAACAACTAAAACCTGCTGGATAGAGGCCCTTGAGGACCAGGATTCCCCACCCCTGACCCGACGGTTAACCACTGTTCTGAGATGAAATATAAAGCCGGCTGAACTCAAACCTGCTCGAGCTCTCTCATGGCAGCCATGTTGTTCTGGAACTTGTCCAGACTCCAGAAGGTGGAGATCCCCAGCTTTGTGTTCTGAACCCGCACCTGCAGCACCGGCTGCTCCGGGTTCTCACGATCTGAGCTCTCGTATCTAAAACAGAAGAAAGCGACACCACAGTTGGCTCATCTGAACGAAAGTCACAACAATGCTTGTTTAAAAAAGGCTAAACGTTGCTTCTACACAGACAAATCTCGATGACGATGAGGAACGTGGTGCAGAAGTACCTAAAACCTCTATTTGTGCATTAGTAAGCGTCTCTCCCACCTGCTGAAGACCGTGTGTTTCTTCAGTTTAACACTGATCTTATTGGCCTCTTCAATCATCAGGGACAGTTTCATGGCACCCCACTGAGGAGAGGCTGCAACACAAATAAAACATCTGCATCACCTGGATGTACATTTTTGAAGATTGTCTCCATTAAAATGTTTTGAACGGTTTCCTTAATTCCAGAATAATAATGTTTTGTGGTGGTTTTAAATACTCGTTGAGGTCTATATTCCTGAAGCTACTGGTAGAAACAATAATACTAAACGACTTGAAAAACACACAGAGAACCGCTGCAACTGATGCAGCTTTTGTTAAGTAAAAACTCACGTTTTCGGGGCGTTTTGTTCAACCTCAGATCTTTTTTCTTCTGCATCTCCTCCAGCTCCAGACTGATCTTCCTCTTTTCTGCCTCGAGGGCCTCGACGATCTTGGCTTGGCACACTCGACGTTCTTCCATAGCCTAGCAGAGGAATGTAAACACCGTCAAGAATTTCAAACCATGTAAAAAGTAAATAAATTAAACACATCCAAAACAACCGTTTGACCACGGATCAGCATGTTTACACACAGGTGATTTGTTTTTGATGATCAGAAATCAGTTGAATGTAAAACTGTGCTTTAGCTTCTGAGAAAAAAGGAAGAGCCGAGATAAGATCAGCTAAGAACCAGACTGGATCAAAGAGTGAATGAGAGGTTTTTACAACTTGACCCTCTGCAACTCAGAACACTAAACCATAAAACGGTCCAATAATGTTCTTCAAATTAAGGAAATCAGTAATTAAAGATGTTTATTGTTCTGACTTGTGCTTCCATGTGGAGACGGAGGAGTTTCTTTTGGGTGTCCACCTCCTTTTCCAGCTCCATCTTGGCCACTTTAAGCTCCTTCATTTGAGTGGCCACCTTCTGCTGGTCCACCTCCTGCAGACGCTTCCTCTGACTTTCCTCCTCCTGGAGGAAAACCCATTAAAATCGAATCATCTCTGATAACAGCAGGAAGTCAGAGGAAATGCAGAAGTCCAGCATGGTGACAGAATAAGGAGGTGAATCTTTACCAGTTCTCTCTCCAGAGCCTGGATCCTGTTCTCATAAAGAGTTTTTTGGTTAGTAAGCTCCTTCTGAGCCACTTCTTTAGCCATCTGAATGCCCTGCATCATCTCCTCTTTTGCCTTTAAATGAGCTTCTTCAATCTCCGCCTCAAGTCTGAAACAAGAAAAATCAACTGAGTGTTTTCTGATTACTCACCAGCACGATAAAACATCTCCTTTTGAAAGGCGTACTTGGCTCTCTGAGCTGCCAGGAGCTCATTTTTGGCAAACTCAAAGTCTTTGTGACCGTCGCTCGCACTCGTCCAGCATGACACTCTCTTCCCAGACTGGACCTCTGCTGGATGATTAAAGCGGAAGTAGTGGTCTCCACCAAGGATGATGCGGTCGCCCTGGGCAACACACCAACAGATACGAGAAGTGATGTAGAACCAATGTTCAGACATGGCTGCTGAGCGTGAGAAATATAACTTTTTGTATTTTTACACACGTGATGCAAGACGGTGGATTCAGAGATGAGGTTCCCGTTAACAAAGGTCTTTGCATCATCCACAGGAGTGATGCTGACGGTGTTATGGATATTGGATATGACGCTGTCAGGGAGAAAATATCAACATTAATTTTATTCAGAGCACAGAAAAAACATTAAAAAGATATTTTTTCAAGGATTTCTGAAATCAGATTTCACCCACTTACTGAGTTTATTAAACATTTTCTAATAAATTCATGCTGCTGGGGCTTTATGCTCACCAGTGCTGGTCAGCGATGAGGGCCCCGGTGAGCTGGATGTCATGAATGGAGCCTGCTTTGAGTTTTCCAACGGTGGTCCGGCCCTCTTTGATCATGTAGAGAAGCATCTCAGACAGCTGAGGGTCCTCGTTCAGGTTCACGAGGTTGGGAAGACGGTTGTCCACTTTGAATGTCACTCCTGCTTTCTGATTGGGCAGAGCGAGAGACATTTCAGAGATCCTCCTCCTTCATTTTTATGATGATTTTTAGGATCTTTTTAAGGCCACTATCATTTAATTTAAGACCTCACATTGTCAGAATGAAAAACGGGTGTGACCACTATGGCCTAAAATCACTATCACGATATATTGAGGATTTCACCTCGATAACGATAAATGGACGATAACTACAGGTATGCGCAGAAAACAAAAGTTGTCCACTAGATGGGGCTGTCGCATGTATTACGTTGAGTCACATTTTTACATGACTCAAGGTGGTACAGCTAACGGGACATGAGCATCGCCAGCCTACACACACCTTTTCATTTTTTATCATCAAATTTATTAACATTGGAAAAATTATCACGATAAAAGTCCAAAATTTCGATAACGATAAATTTTTGATTTATTGCCCAGCCCTAGTGACCACCATGCAAATAGTTCCCCCCCCAAACCTTTGTTGGAACTGAAAATGCTGAAAAGTGACACAAACATCAGGATAATTGCTCTGCAGAGGATGAATGTGTATGAATTTTTCAAAAACAAACAATGCAGGCCCTCTTCCTCACACGCCCACTGATCACGACAGTCTCGTTCGCAAAAATGCAAAACACAAATTATACGTTTGTTAAATAAATCTTGTTTATTGGGTCTGTTGTATTTTTAGGACTGTTGGACTCTGAATCTGTTTTTTTTTTCATCACATCTGCAGTGGTGTTTAGTACAAATGACTGCCTTGTGGGGGAAAAGCTCTCACGCTCCTGTTTCAGGAGCTAGAAATGAGCCAGAGCAGAGGTGAGCAGAGCACGGTAAAATTAGGGTTGTTTTTCCTGATATTCTGTCATCTCACCTCTGATTGGCTAACAGCAACGTGACTCTACCACGTAGATGCTTTATCTCCACAAACGACACAAGCCTGAAGGAGTTCTGGCTCATGGTGGAGTTGCTAAGGCTAACAGTTAGCTTCTACTAGCCAAGACATGCTCTGCTCTCTCCTGGACGCTAAACCAACAACAACCTCCCCCACTGTGGGCCAAGATGAGTCCATGAATGTTAATTTTCCGGGTGACGCAGATCCGTCAGGCTTTTCTAATCTGAGCGTTTCATTGTCCATTTTCTATGGGCGGCTATCGCAGGAAATAGGGGTGGAAGACTATTTTCACATTTAGCTCCATGCTAAACTGAATGACCAATCATTTTTCAAACATAACAAGTCAAACTTATTTCTCAGTGAATTAATTCTCGCACTTTTGAAGGCCTTAACTACGTAAAATGTAATTTAAGGCTTCTTAAGGACATGTAGATACCCAGGAGAAAGGCAAAAACAGCACATTAATACCTGCAGCTCTTTGGTCTCCTCATGTTTACGAACTTCTGCTTGCTCAAGTTTTTCCCTCCATGCCCTGATAGGAAAACACTTTAAAATGAGCTTTATCATAATGCAAATCTCTCCATAAACTGATATGTGCAAAAAACCACAGAAAATTAACACCATGATGCTTCTTAATGTGTTGATATCAGCAACATCTTTCCACTGGTTTCCTCCCACACAAACACCAGAGTTAGCTCCAGATTTGTACTACACAAACACAAATACACAAAGTGTTTGAGTTGTGGTGGTGTTGCTGACCGGTTGGCCTCCGCCATCTCTCTCTCCTGCTGAGAGAGTTTGTTCTTCAGGGTGCTGATCTCCTGCTGGAAGAGCCTGACTCTGTGTGGCTCGACACCCTGCGAGCTCATCTGGGCCGCTCGTAGTTTCTCCACCTCTGCCTTCAGCTCTGAAAAGCACAACAAGGTGGCTCTAGACGCTTTGATGGTGTCATTTTGAACAAATATTGATGCAAAATTGTAGTAAGTCGCATAAAAGGGCTGTGAAGTTCTGACTTCAACAGAATTATTCAGATGTTCTCCATTAAATGGGATTTACAACATGACATTCCCCTAAAAATGAACAGCAAGTCTCACTCAGACATGGATACTAATCCACAGCAAGATCGCCCCCTAGTGCTAGACTACGAAACAGCAGCTGTTATCTTTTTTTTTTTTAAGTTAGCTGGCATGTGTGAGTGACATACACACGGATAGGGCTCAAGGTTAGGGTCAAGCTTTCCTCTAATCTAAAACATAAAAAAAGGAAGTGAGGAATAAACGTGTGAACGAGAAGTTGTTCTGGACAGGAAGAGACAGACATACGAAGAGAGAGAAAAAGAAAACAATTGGAGAAAATCAACCTGAATAAATAAGCGTGTGTAAATATAATCTGAAACTGACACAGGTCATGTTTTCCTAAAGTGTTTGGTGTCACACAGGTGTGGTTACGTGATGGATGTCTGACCTCTGATGAGCTTAGCGCTGGTGTCTTCGTTGACTTTCGCCACGTTGATGATGGTGCGGGCCTGCTGAGCATAGCGCAGTGTGCTCAGGCTCTCTTCCACGTTGCTGCCCGCCGGGCTCACCGTTGCAATCATGGCCGTCTTGGAGTTCCCACCCAGGCTTTCCTTCAAGAGCCTGCCGGAGAAAACAAATCAAAGCTCCATTAGGGAAACAATTTCCTCAAATAGGTTCACAACTTTAAGTCATCTCAGCTCAGCTTTGAAAATGAAAAGTTGTGAATAAAAATTTGCATTCAAGCTCACTGCTTCATTACCAAGTCAGGACCGACTCTCTGTAGGGGGTGAAGACCTTCTTCCTGGTCAGTGCCTGCTCTGATAAGGCAGAGATGACCTTTCCAAGTGTTAGCAGGGATTTGTTGATGCTAGCACCCTCCTGTAAGGACGACAAAAAAAAAAACGACTAGATCCCTTTTTTAAAGGTGTGGAACACTCATTTAATCAATACATGTGCAGTGGTCTCTAGTTGGAATAAATGGCTTGTAATTCCTACTCCAGGGTGCAAAAACACTGGTGCACCTTTTCCAGGAACTAGAAGTGAGCCACGTCACAGCTGAGCTTCAGACGGCAGGATTTGGAGCTTTAGTTCCTCATATTTGGACATCTCTCCTCAGATTGGCCAACAGCAACACGACTTCACCACTGACTTTGTTTGCGTTGCAACGTTGATGTTTTATCAACACAAATAACACAAGCCTAGAGGAGGTCTGCTGTGTGGAGGAGTTGCTGATTCTAACAGTTAGCTTCTACTAGCTGAGACGTTCTCTGCTGCTTCCAGGATGCTAAACCAACAACAGCCTTCCCCGTTGTGAGTCAAGATGGGCGAGTCCATGAATGTTAAGTGACAGAGTGACGTAGATCTGTCAGAATTTTCAAATCCTAGAGTTTCACCGTCTATTTTCTATCAGAAGCTAATGCAGGAGATAGATGTAGGAGACTATTTTCATGTTCAGCCTGCATGAAGAACCTAGAGTAACAGATTATAATAAGAAATTAAAGCTGCAAGCAGCGTCGTTCTGCCCTCGCAGCGAAGCTGCTCGCCCTCCGTCCGCACCCCCTCCACTCCATCCCCGACGCTCTCCAAACCCATCGCCTTGCAACCGGTGGAGCACGAGCACCCATGCGCGCCAGACACCCCAACGTGCATTTAACTGCGATTCACTGTGAGCTGTCACCTCAATCTGACTCAGCCTTTCCTCCTAGGCTGCCAACCGTCCCCACTAAAAATGTTTTACAATAGTAAAATATTCCAGCTTTGAAAGAGACTCTGTAACGTAACTGGAACAAAATGGCCGACTTCCTGTGGGATGTGGAGCATGGCTCCATGAGACTTCTTTGTAGGCCCAGGCACAAAACATAAGTGTGCAACATTTCACAATCCTCAGTCAAAGCATGACTTGGGGCTGAGTTTTAATGGTCGTAGGGGGTGCGATTTTAGAAAAAAGGCCACGCCAACCAGCTCATGACATCAATTTATAACGTCCATCGCTTCTGTCGCTTCTGTTCAATCGCACACTATTTTTGAGACGATCGTGCAAAAAATGACCAAACTGTAAATATAGACCCTAGAAATGACCAAAACGGGGTCAAAATCTCTACTTTAGTCCAAAATGGCCGACTTTCTGTTTGATTTTGACCATGGGTGCAAGAGGCTTTTCTGTGCGTATTGTTGAGTTCTACAAGTGTACCAAATTTCCTCACTCTACTATAAAAAAAAGGTCAAAGCGGAGGGGAATTTTTAATTTTCCAGGGGGTGCTGTTGAAACACTTTATCAACTTTCACATCGACTTTGAAGATCGTAAATTTCACGCACCTTCTACATTGGGCCAGAATTTGGTGAGTTTTTGGATATGCTAAGACCCCAAAAAGCCATTCAAAGAAAAAAAAAAAAGAAATAAAATAAAAAACAGAGCAGATACAATAGACCTTCGCAGCTTCGCTGCTCGGGCCTAATAATCATTAAATGGGTTAGAGTTAGGGTTGTTTAATCTTTAGTTGATCCAAATGGAAATGTTCTGTCTTAACCCCATTCTAATCTAGGAAATAGAATTATTGGAATATATTTTACATGAGAGGGGAAAGGGCCAGTCTTTCTGGAACACAGTTTTATACTAAAGCAATTATTTTGGGACAATTACAAATTCTTTGCTAAAATGTAACAATTCAAAAATGGATATTAGTGAGTGTGTGTGTGTGTGTGTGTGTGTGTGTGTGTGTGTGTGTGTGTGTGTGTGTGTGTGTGTGTGTACCCTGAGTCTTTCTCCACTGGTCTGAGCAGAGTTACAGCGCTCGCTTCCAGCCAGGTCCACCAGGTTGATCCTGCTGATGATGCTGTGGTCGTGTTCCTCTCCCTCCACAAACTCCGTCTGAACACACAGGTTAACGTTCATAAAGTGCAACAGAAACGGGTTTAACCATTTGCTGAAATCAAACAGCCAAACCTTGGTCTGCGTCATCACTAAGGTGAAGACAGAGTGAGACCTGGAGCTCTTGTCGTTCATCCCGGTTGCTGCTGTAGCTCTCTGCTTGTTACCGAGCTCCAGCCAGCCCTACGGAAACAAAACGCAGCAGATCAGACCTGATTGGTGTGAAATTACACTTGAAAACCTGAAATGCTCAATAAAACATATCCTGAAATGATTGACAGCTGGTTCACCTACCTTAATGTCCGTGTAGGAGCTCACCACATTCCTGGAGAAGAAGTAACCATGAGTGATTTTTTTTCCTGAGATTTTTTGTGACAATGTGAATTATTTTAAGTCGTGATAAAAAAAAAACATGTTTATGTAGTTCTTTGCTCTAATTCCCTTTCACATGAAAAGATTTCTGCAGTTTAATTCTTGACATTTTCAGTATCTTCCAGAATGAGTCGTTTCAGGGCTCTGTCACTTTAAGAAAACAATATGGAGCTGGCCATGCCCACCCGTCCCCTGATTGGCTACTATAAGCACAGAAGCTCTGATAAACAGGAGGGGATTGGAGTAGAGCCGCTGCTCCTCCAGCAGCAGCTCTCTCATTCACGTGAGAAGTGGCTCTGTTCTAATTTCCTCGTTTATGACATCACAAATGGTGACTTTTTGAAACAGCTTGTTTTGGGCTCTTATATTCCTGAAACTAAACACTGACAGAAAACGGACGGATGGTTTTTTTTCCCCACACTTGGGAGTGTTTACAGAGGCAGCAGAGACCCATATGGCAGCACAAAAGGATGCAAAAGGTGGGTTTTGCATATGATGTCCCTTTAATAAATAGTGATGAAGTAAAATTAAAGTCATCTTACGCAGAGAGTTCAGCAACATAAGGACCGTGGACCGGGTGCTCCCTCACCCTCAGCTGGAAGACAAATCAACAAAGTTTCATTTTGACTACATTTATCAAAAAGTATGCGATGATAAACATTTTATTTAACTGCGAAGAGCTTTCTAGGGTGAATGTCTGAAGCTACAAACCGGCATCCTCCTCTGGTGCGGCTCCTCTCTGGTTACCAACAGGTCATGGATCTTCTCATTATACACTTCAAAGTAACTCATCTCTACATGGCACTTCACCTAAAGTATAAATACACAAAAATAGTGTTGTGACCTGGTAAATAATCAAACTAAAAATAGTTAGTCTCTATGCTTCTGTGCGATTATCCACCTCTTCGTTCACCATGGAGGCCAGCTTGATAAAAAGCTCCTGGCAGAAACGTGGGATAACCCCTGCCTCTTCCTCAAAGCCCATCATCCTGCACAAAAGCAATCAAATCAAAACGATGCCGTTTCTAACATGACGCCAAATCTCTCCAGCATGGAGAAAGCTGATGCATTAATAACGGCCAAAAACACTCACGTGTACGATTTTCCAGAACCTGTCTGTCCATAAGCAAACAAGCAGGTGTTGAAGCCTTCAAAGGCCCTGAACAGCAGAGGTTTAGCCAGCGTCTGGTACACCGTCTTCTGGCTGGCGAAGGCAGGGTCGCCGTCATCCACAGAGCAGAAAGAGAAGTCATAGGTGAAGGAGTAGCTCTGTTTGGACTCCGGATGCTGGACGATCATCTCCTGACCGTTCATGAAGATGACCTGTGAGGCCTTCTCAGTTTTCTCCCTGAAATAATAAAAGATCTTTAAATGAGTTTTGTTGTATATTTGAGAATTTCTGTAAATTAGAAACTATTTGCGGTTAAACTTTTTCCATCAGCACACCTGACCACTCACCTGGCACTGAAAGGACGGACACGGACAGCCACAGTCACTGCGCTGTTCTCCATCTTAAAGGAATCCTGCTGCCTCTGGACCTCGCTGGTAAGAGTGGATTCACTGGATGTTCTGGTCAGGATCACCTCTCCCTTCAAGTTTGAGGTGGTCGTCTTCCTCTCCTGCACACCTGTGGAGGCCTTGCTGACCCGAGGAGCTGGCAACGGTTTGATCTCCTCAGCTTGTTGCACCCTGGGCCTTTCCAGACTCGCAGATTTGACTGGCACAAGTTTTTGAGCTTCTCTGTTTGCCAGTTTTTCAAAAACGTCTCTCTTAGAGGCGATTTTCTCAAAGGGAGTCCTTTTGGTGGGGGTTTTAAACGTCTGAGCAGGCTCCTCCAGCTGCCTGGCTGTGGAGGAAATCAAAGAGGGCGTCTTTGTTTGCGTCGACCTCCCCAAATGAGCCGCAGCTTCTTTTGTCTTTGGGACGGTTTCTCTCAAGCTTGTGGATCTAAATAAAGCAGGTGTCCTGCCGTTTGGTTCACCCAGGACTTTGGGTGTGGATGGCTGGTTGGTGCCGCTGACCCCACGCTGCCCACGGCTGCTTTTATCCATCATGGAGGGAGTCCTGGTCCTGCGCTGCAGGGTCAGCCTCTTCTGCGGAGCCGGAGTGGTGTTCTGGCTGCTCTCGGCCACTGTGTCCTCTCTCGTCTCGGCCCCGGTCTTCCTCCTCGACCTTCTTTGCAAAGTGAGTCGGCTTCTGTAAGCGGTTTGCTGGCCGCCGCCGCTTTTTGACAGCGCAGAGATGACGTAAGTCCTGTTTACCGGACGGCTTCTATCAGATAACCTGCTGTCTTCACACGCGGATTCTGCGCTTGACGCGTCCCTCTTGACCAAACTCGCTTCCGTCGCCTCTGCTGGGCGCTCTCTCGCGGGTGTCCTGGACACCGAGGCCGACACTAAATTGTCATAAAACGCCGTGTGCTTTCTGGCCTGTATGCTAAATATCGACATGATGTTAAAATTGTAACCAACAAAGTAACTACGACAACGAAACCCGTGGATTTTCTAAATTACGACAGTGCATGAAACTAAAATAGTGTAAAAACAAAGCAAATGCTGCTCAAGAAATTAGATAAAGGCAAATATTACTCCACTGGGATAAAATAACAGGTCTGAACGCGAGAACTTTGCTACTTATGTTTGTTATTGTTGCTCTTCGCTTCCGCCTTCGCCCGCTTCAATTTCAAATCGGCTCCTTCGGTGGCCGCTGATTGGCTGGTTTTTCCGAGCTCGTACGTCATATTTCGGGGACTTGCAAACATAAAAACTTCCGCCAGGTGGCAGCACAGCACGTGTTAAAATTCAGAGGCAGCCTCTGGATTTGACCAGCTATCAAGATAAGACAAAATAATTGTTTGAAATTCAAGAAATCATAAATGGAAAATAGCATCAAAGCGTCAACTTACTTTTTTCCTTCTCAGTTTTTTAAATATAATTATTTTTCAACATTTTTTACATTATTTTTATTACTTTTTTGAAGCACCCTTTTATCTTGACAAGTGCAACGTAAAAATTGTTTCTCCTTTTTGTACAAAAATAAATTAAAAAGCTCCAGCTGACATTCTTTTACATCCTTAAATGACCCTGCTGATGGAGGTGAAGTTTGCATATATTTTTGTGTTAAAAGAAAAATATTATAGGCAGCAGAATCAATAAAGAAAATAGCAGAATGAATAGAAAACATGAAATCTAGAACAAAACAACCCAACATTAGGAGCAGAAACACTAGACTTTGTCACATCAACCCCCCTCGTCCTGGATGGACTCAACTCCCACCTCTTTGTAATCTTTCTCCAGAGCAGCCATGTCCTCCTTGGCCTCAGGCAACTCCTCTTCCTCCACCAACATACCAGTGAACGAAGGGATTGCAATTCATCAAGTCAAACTTATGATCCAATCAGGCCCAAGCCTCAACAGTAGCAGTGCTCAGCATACACACTGCCCTTTGCACTTTGGCCAGATCTCTTCCAGGGCAGGTAGTAACCTCAAAACCAGTGGGACACCAGTCCACAAACTGGACGCTATGCTGGGTTTTGAATGCTGCATTGATACCTTTCGGTACTACTGCACCACGGGGAGGGGATCAAACATCATACAAACTAAACATTAGTTAAAAGAAGGCTACTTCTTGCGACGATCGTGCTTCTTTATTATGTCCAGAAGGTTGTTCGTAGTAACCAGCGTGCCACCAAGTCCAGTCTTGTTTTTCTGCTTCTCTCTCCTCCGCTGTTCATGGAGATGGGGTGAGTTTAGAAGCTGAGGAGGCAGAATGGACCCAGTGGGTCTGACCCTGTTCACCACCTCCAAGAACAGCCGTTTGTTGTTGTTGTTGAGGAAAGTGATGGCCGTTCCCCGGTGACCCAGCCTCCCCGCTCTGCCCACCTGGTAGAAAAGAAATAAAGATGAATATGTGATTATTGACATTTAGGAGGGATTTATGATTGTGTATCAGCTGCAAGCATTCTTCTACGAGATGTACATCATTGTTGGACTAACCTGGTGGACATACTCATCCATCGTGTTCGGCATGTCAAAATTAACCACCAATCTGACATTGACCAGGTCCAGTCCTCTGCCCAGCACCCCCGTACTGATTACCACCTCGAAGTCTCCGTCAAGAAGACCCTGAAGGAACAATGCATAATATCAGATTACACACTGCTGAAACCAAACCGCTAGAAGACTAATAATTCAATTTAAAACTCATCCACCTTTATTTACGCGATTAAACCCGATTGCTTTTCCTCCTGTGAATGCTCGTTACGCTGCTAGCCTCACCTTCAGGATACGGTTGCGTTCCATCTGATTCTTGTCAGAGTGGACGGCCACCGTAGTGAGACTGGTCACCGTGGCAACCGCTTCGCAAAGCAAATCAGCTCCCAGTTTACAATCTACAAACACCACGACTGGAGGCTGGTACAGTTTACTGTCCTAGAAATAGAAATAAAAGAATCAATGGGAATTATTTTAATTCTTCATTCAAATATTGCAATGACTGTACATTTCCCCACGTTTAGAGGCTGATTATAAAACAACCAAATAACCCTCCAACAAACTGATCACCGTCTTTTTGTTACAAGCAATTACTCTCTGGGAAAATGAACACATCCATCACATATTCTTAAAACACGTCCCAGTGGTGTGTTTGGCTGCCCTCGCTGTAAACCGTATCAAATCCAACAGCTAAACTGTAAACGTTTACAACAGCTGGGTGATAACTCTCCTGATCAGCTGAAGCAGCTGCATATTCCTGCAACTATTTTAGCCATTTTTTCTCTCCCCAGCAGGAGATCTGAAACAACTCTTCCACGTTTCATTTGGACTGAAACTTTCTGGATCTTATCCACCTCGGTTTTAGTTCTCTGACCTCTCTTGTCACGAATTATTAGAACTGGGATTCCTGGAGAGAAGCCAGGACTCCCGGGCTGTGGCAAACGCAGATCCAAACATGCTGTTGTGAGGGCGACAGTTGTTGGAGTTTCAAGAATTTACACCTTTGCTGAAACTGAAAGTCCAAAAACCGAGCTGAACAACTTACATTAAGAATCTCAAAGAGCTTCTTCTTCTTGGAGGGTTCTTCAACCCAAAGCAGGATCTGTCTGACGTTGGCACAGGGCTGGTTCTTCTCCCCAACAGCGATGCGTACAGGGTCACGGACGAGCCGGGAGGCGAGCTCCTCTGTCCCTGCTGGGATGGTGGCAGACGCCAGCAGACTCTGGTGCTTTTTGGGAACCTGCTCCAGAACCTCAAGCACTTGCTGCTGGAAACCCATCTTCAGCATGGTGTCTACCTCGTCGACCACCACAATCTTCACCTCGTCCAGCTGCAGCGCTTTCTGCTTCAGGATCTCAATGAGTCTCCCGGGTGTAGCGATGACAATCTGAATGAGATAAGGAGAAATGACACGTAATGAAACCCGAGAAGTCAGAAACTCAACAAGCCAGAGGAGAATAAGCTGTAGGTTTACTTTGATGCTGCTCTTGAGGCGGTGCAGCTGTGGTGGGAGGGGCATACCCCCAACAAGCAGAGCTGTCCTCATGTTGGCGAGTCCCATCACCAGCTCCTTGGCTTGTTTCTCTATCTGAATGGCCAGCTCTCTGGTGGGGGTCAGGATCAGAGCCACGGGGCTGCACACACCCTCAGCTGGTTTCTAAAGACAAACGTGATACAGATTACATCCTCAAATGGAATTTCTTTTGTGGCAAGGTTTTTCAAGGACGATTCACTCATTTTGTTATAGTCACATAGGAGGAGGCTCCTCCATCAGTAACATAAGTCTAGATTCACACAGCAGGCAGGCAAGTTTTCACTCTTTAATCTTGAAGTGATGCTCGTATTATTCCCAAGGCACTTTCTATAGTTGGCAAACAAAAAGGGAGAGTATTGCCGTGAAAGTGCGATGTTTTATCTCTTTTCGCAGATTTTTTTTTACAGAAGCTAATAGTTTTTATCTTGCTTTTGAGTAATTTTCACATAGTAGCCTGTTTCAGTGGATTAGGTATCATCTTCTAGGCTGTTTTCCTGTACCTGCAGTGCCTTCACCACCACCGGCAGCAGAAAGGCCACGGTCTTCCCCGATCCCGTGTCAGCGCTGGCGATCACATCCCTGCCTGTGAGACCAACTGGCAACATTTGCATCTGGACCGGCGTGGGTGCCTCGTAACCGGCCTTTTTGAGGTTACCATATAACGGCGAAGGGAAGCCGCAGTGTTCAAATTCGATGATGGGCCGTGCAATATCCTTTCCTTCTGTCTTGATGCCGAGCTCTAGTTTAATCCGCTCCACCTGCTCGTCCGCCAGGCCCGATATGAACGGATCTTCCTTGTAGGAATAGCAGGGTTCGTTTACACCCACCCCACCAGTGTTACCCGCCCCGTGTTGAGATTTAGGATAGGGTGTGTCCTTACTGTTGAAGGCAGCTGCCCCGGTCCCCATCCCCATTTGAACTAAATGCTTGGCTTTGCATTCGAGGCTGCAGACATCATTATCAGTAGCATCACAAATGTACTCCCCATAGCGACCACACATCACACAAACGGGCTCCCCCGGCTCCGGCCATCTCTGGTTCTTTTTGAAAGATTTGACTGGTTCCTCTTCATCCTCATCTGAAGATGACTTGGGTCTATAGTCACATGTGGTTCTGTCTTTCAAATGTGAATGTGTTTCTTCTTGTGTTGTCTTGTCTTCACGTGCTTCCCATCCTTCAGCAGGTGTCTGCAGACCACTTTCATTGCTGCCATCTTCATCAGCAGCCTTGCTTTTCTTTTTTGAGGCATGACCTGGTCCCTGAGCGGGTCTCTTCACCTTCAGGGCTCTGGGCATGAACATTTTGAAAGCAACCTGCAACAAAAGAAAGCAGAGGTGACGAAAAATTATGTTAAACAGAAAACTTGGCAGTAAACAAATTCCACACGGGTGGCAAAACTCGTTTCCGGGAAAACAAAAGCGTTTAATTTTAAGCCATGAAACGTTCACACCTAGAACCACCATTCGACTGTTTTTAATAAATAAATGTTAGTACATTAAGTGTTCTTTTAGATAAAAACACGGCCTCACACTCAAGTCGAGTCCAATCCAACAGCCGTTCCAAAGAAAGATAACCGGCGCGCAGTGATGACGTAGGTTGCCTTGAATAACGGGAAATGCCGATTTTTCCAATTTCCTCAGAAAATGTACCTTACTAAATCCATTCCGTTTTCTAAGAAAGTGTTTTAGGTGGTTTGCGCAGTGAGCAGGAATTACCTGAGATAAACAACAGACAGTGACGTACGTCGGGGATAAACACAGCGCAACAATTTCAAATGTCTGATCAAACGTTACGTGATTTCATTATTCAATCGTAAAGCAAATTGGTACAAAAATGTGTTTAATATTACAAGTTTCTACAGATCAGCGGTTTCATAATTTAAAGTCTTTGCTGTTAATAACGTAAATATTTTTGCCGTGTTCAATAGACTTTAAGAAATGTGGTAATCTTAAATATTAACGCTTAAGATAAAAATATGTCTTGATTTTGAAAGTATTCCATAATTCTAGCATCATATTTAATAATAGAACCGCCTTTTAGTATTTAGAAATTCTTCAGTCTCTTGTGAGACACGTGAAAGTGAGTTATGCGGAATTGTGAGCGAAACCAAACAACAAAAGATGTCAAAAGTTCGACGGACTACGAAGGTAACGTTACGCATGCGCGTTGCGCAGCAAAGGTGTTGGTCTGAGAGCCCCCAGTGCGGCAGTCGCATCTGAAGGTCCTACAGGAATGAGTGGAAAACACACGGGTTATTTAAAAGAAACTGTCTGCTTCCGAGCGTGTTAAATAATGGAAACGTTGGTGTTTCTACTCCAGCCAAAGAGCGGCTTTTTCCGTCTGAAATCCTCGGAACCCCGGTTCGGTCCAACGGGAGTCCATTTCAGCTGAGCAGAATGGATTGAAAACACCTAGAGCAGCGACCCATTGTGCCAGCGCGAGACCGAAGAAAGATCAAAGCACGGGCCAGTGTGACAGTTTTAGCTGAAAGAGCTCGTGGGTAATCTGCGAAAAGACATTTTCACCTCCTCAGTCCACAGCTGCTTATTGTTTTCCACGGTGGGATGCTTTCCCGCTGCCGCGTCGCTTCATAAGGTTGAAAATATGGGTGAAGTCCAGGACGACAGGGATGCGAGGAAGACCTTCGTAGCTCCGGCGGTGAAGTCTTTTGAGCATTATGACTTTTCCCGAGCAAAAATCTGCTGCAGCCTCAGATGGCTGCTGGCCAAAGCATACGGGACAGGTAGGCGCAAGACTGTACTACTTAGATTTATGAAGGTAAAAAAAAAATAAATAAATAAATGCAACATCATATTCTCATAGAAACACACTATATAGATACTGCAGGATATAATGTGTTGTTAGAACCGCATGGGACATTTAAATAGAAATTATGGAAACAACATCATTGATCTTTTACATTATTTTTGCTCTTTTAGCCATCTTATTAAAGTAACCTGTTAATAAAAACAAACATTTGTTTAAAAAAGATTTTCATGGTGTAAATAAACATTAAACATGCAAGTTGCTTTAAATTGTATGTACCATTAGGGTATAGTGAACATATTAGATTGCTGAAGTTGGAAATAATGAGACAGAAAGCCTTGGGATTAAAACTGTTTCCAATTTTATTGTAACTCACATATAGTTTCCTTGTTTTCTTCTCATCTTGCAGATAAAAGGCCTAAATAGAGAAAGAGTGTATTTCTGGCTAAAATAGGCATGCTTCTTTAAACCTACTAATCACTGATTTTTTATAAATAGTTAGGCAAAATTGTACAACAGTCACCAACAGTCACCAGTTGAATTTGATTCTTTATCAGGAGGCCATTTTCAATGTACTATTAATGCTTTAACAGTGTAATAAGCTCATATTATGCTCTATACTTGACATATGGATTTAAGAATGAAGAATAAGACCCGACTATAGAAATAAGATATTGATTCTAACAGCTTATAACCCAGTCTGACTTCGTTCAGCAGCAGGGAATCTGCCATAGTAAACAACAAGTCAAGGGCCTTCTGTCAGATTAATTATCTGGTTTCTCTTCACTTATTTAGTTATTAATTTGGGTTCATTCATTGTAAATACTTCCCACTCTCCCTCCTATTGACCTCATCCCATCGTTGTTTTGAGAGCACCCATCCTTGCTGCAGTTTTGTAACAATCCAGCAAACACGAGATTCCCTCGCAGACCTTCGGTGTGTTTTCGATCCGGTCTGAATGAAATGGGTCGTTTCCAAAAATACAGCCTTCCAGAGGGAGCGGAGCAGGAGGGGAAGAAGAGGAAGTGAGTGGGCTCGTCTCCAGATCCCTGCCTCTGCGGCAATGAATTCCTCACATGCATTTAGTGTCATTAGTAATAAACAGGCTGCATCTGGAATAATGCCAGCAGGAAAGATGCAAGCTGATATTTTAAAACGGGTGTTTGTGTGCAGAGTTTAGCTCCCCCTTGTGCAGATCTTGATCACTTGTTCGTTGTCTTGTGGGTACAGCAGTGGCTAAAACGTGACTTTCAAGTGTTTTCGACCACAAGTTCATTGCGTTTCTACGACAGTGTCACCAGGACAAACTCTTTTTTTTTGTACAATATTCCACTGAGTGAACTCTGATGCAGATGCTCCCTTTGATGGTGCAGGCCGTGAGAAGAAGGGTGTTCCCAGTCAGTTGGAAGCTTCAGGGATAAAAAAAAAGATGAATCGATCGAGTTCTACTCCTCCTGTCGTTGCTATAGCAACACTAAGGTCTATCCACACGTATCTGTGTCGAGATATTTTTGAAGTGGTTCTGTTAGAGGGAGAAGAAGAAATGTAAATTTAGCAAGCCTAGCTTTTTTATCTTAATTATTTGGGTATTTTAATACAATTGGAGACCCAAAGTGCTAAAATTGCCTTTCCTTTTTACACAGACAGCATCCCTGTGGACCTGAAGGATCCCTTCTACACAGACCAGTATGAGCAGGAGCACCTGAAGCCCCCTGTGGCCAGCCTCCTGCTGTCTGCTGACCTCTACTGCAGGGCTGGCAGCCTGATCCTGAAGAGCGACGCTGCCAAGCCACTGCTGGGTCACGATGCCGTCATCCAAGCCCTGGCTCAGCGTGGGTTGTACGTCACCGACCAGGAGAGACTGGTCACTGAGAGAGACCTGCGAAAGAGGCCTCTGCAAATGGTGAGAAATGACAATTTGCTGTAGCCTGGCAAGCCCTCCTCTATGTTAAATATATAGTCTGGCCACGACCCATTGATGGCTCTGTCATGGAGCGGGATCTACAGTTGTCTTTTAGACGGTCTCCAAACCGATAGAGCGCTGTGATTGGTCAGCCACCATCGGGAGTCTGGGGAGGTTCCAATGGAGCATGGCTGGACCGGCATCCAGGGCAAAATGTTTTTGCTTCTGTTCCTGTCTCTCTAGATTTCTAGGCTATGTTTGCTGGGGCAGAACCAATTTCAGATCCGAGCTTCAAATGAGCAACAAACTACTTTTGTTCTGGCACATTTCAAGATAGAACAATAAAAACAACAAATAATTAAGAAATTGACACAGATAGGACATGAGCTCATTGTTCCTTTATGTTCATGAATAGAAGTCATGTTGGTCAGTGCCCCACGCAGACCTGCAAACAGCAGGTTTTGTGCATTTGTTCTCCTGATACAAGAAAATGCAAGTTACTTTATTTTAAAACTTGCAGTTATTGTGTCTATTCAGGTAAAAGAGGCCAAACATAGCAGTCACTGGTCCACGTTTATGTAGCAGACTGGAGATCCAAACGCCACTCGCTGACCTTGACATCCATCCAGTCTTCTACAGCTCAGCATGTTTGACCTGCAGCAGATAGTTTTTCTCATTCGTCTCAATGTGTCGTTGCTGGAGCTGAGACGAGTTTGCAGCCTGCCTAGCGCATGTCAGAAGGAGGTCCCCTCATTATTTTAGGGCAAAATCTCAGTAGGAAGCTTTACCAGCTCAGTGAATAGCAATTGAGAGACGATTAACTCGCAGTGGGCCTGCAGTCTGTTTGTGGATTCTTGCTGCTTTTAATTTCCCTTTTATGGAAATTTCAATTTTATTTAAGTTTTGTTGGGGTTTACATTCCAAACACTTGTTTTGGAAGAAAACGGCCTCCTGCAACAATTTCTTTTGATTTCTCTGAGTTTTACAGCTACGTATGTGTCCCTGAGCTAAAAGGGGGTTCACACTGCAAGCAGCAAGAATCCTGACTGAACAGTTAACAAGACAGCTGAGGGGTGTTTGTGTGTGACAGAGGATGGCTTTTTATGAATGTGAAAATGAACTGATAGAATCGTGTGAGATGATCTTTTTTAAAATCTTTTCTCCTCTCATGGTTGCCATGACATCTGCTGGTAGCTGAGGGTAGGATTATCAATTATTTAAGAGCTGACTGGGTGATCTTCCTTGTTCCTTTGCTAGGGTTTGGTGAGGAAAAGCAGAAAACAGAAAAACAAGTCCTCTTTGAAGAAAAGGAGTTCCTGTTAAGAAGTTGTTTTCTTAAAGTTGACATTCTTTTCAAAACTCTCCTTTTGCATCGTTTTGTGCTGCCATGTGGATTACAACTACTTCTGTGAACTCCAAAGGTGGACAAAATCCATCCATCCTTTTTCTGTCGGTGTTTGGTTTTAGCAATGAGCCTAAAACAAGCCATTTCTAAAAGTTCCTTTTTTTTCTGTCGTAAACTGGGAAATTAGCATAAAACCACCTCTTACGTGCTGGAGGAGCAGCAGCTCTACTCTGAGTCCCTCCCAGATATCGGAGCTTCTCAGCTTATAGCAACCTGAGTAGGGGGTGGGTGGGAGTGGCCAGCTCCAGCTTGTTTTCTTAAAGTGACAGAGCGCTGAAATGGCTCATTCTAGCAGTTTCTGAAACTCTTAACGAATTAAACCGCATTATGTGAGATAGGGCTGGGGGTAAACGATTATTTTTAAAATGATTATTCTGACGATTATTTTATCGAATAGTCGACTATTCTAGTGACTATTTAGACAATTAATCTAATGATTATTTTTCTATTGCACAGTTAATAAAAACCAAAAAAATCTCTTAATAAATTCCTCAAAAAAATTGATAAATAAACACTACAGGCCTTCCATTTTGTATAACACTGCTTTTATTGTGTTGTGGTTGGTTATGTTCTGGTGACGTGTAGAACTTGGGAGTGCAGGCTGCTGCCTGAGAGGTGGTTGGAGACGGAGTGTCTCCATGCTAGTACTTTGTTTAGGTCACTTATGTGCGTGAGGCGAGTGGTGTTACGACTCTTCCTGAGGAGTTTGGCTCGTGTGCAAAAAGGAAGGGACAATAACGGGATTTAAAAGTTAAAATGATGATCAGGTTTATTTACAACAACAACAAAAACATAAATCTTTCCATCCACAGGTTGGGAATAATAAAACTAATTCTGCCTGTGGGGAATTAAAACAAAAGTACAAATAACCTGGGATGTCCCACTGGGCAAAGATTACTGGGTTCTGGACCAAAATAAGGATCTCCAAAGGTCCAAACTCTAAACTGGGTGGTTAAACCAAACTCAAGGTGATATTTTAAACTAAACCGAAAACCCACAACACTCTAAATGTAATAAAAGAAAGATCTACACCACAAAAAAGATGAACTCTAAACCAAAACGTAACAGCTTATCCAAACGCAAGAAGCTGTTAGCAAAAATGCTAACAGTAGCTTTACCAACGTTAAGTTCAAGTTACCAAGTTTAAATAAACCAAAAACACCCAGCAGCAAACAGACCAGCACAGAGGAGAGACTGCTACCACCAAAACAGCTCTCCTCATGTCTGAAAGAAGCTCCCTTATGAAGGGAGAAACGCTCCCGGTGATTTTCTACATCTGCGGTAGAGACAGAGCAGCGCATCTGACCCCGGAAGTTGTTGTCCGTTGCCGGGAGACGAAGGCGGACAAAACAGGAAAGGAATCTAGTAGCGGACGGATATTTTTCCGGGTCTTCGGTATTTGGCGGAGACGTTAAAGGTGGAGAAGAGGGCGAACTAGAGGAAAAACAGGCAGATTCCACCTCTGTTTACAAACTCCTGGGGATTCAACAAGTGGGCGTGGTGCGTCGACTACCGGATCTGACGTCGACAAATTTTTAGAATCGAGCTGTCGACGTCATCGAGGCTTCGCTACAGCCCTAATGTGAGAGGGATTTATTGTAAACAACTTCATGAACATGTTTTGGATCCACCATAGAACTATTATAACGTAAGAAATAAAACATAATATGCCCCCTTTAAAGTAAAAACCTGCAGTTACCTGCAACTAAAAGCTGCTCCAATAATGTCATTCAATTTTGCCTCGTGGCATTTTAGCAGAGCATCCTTTCTACCTCAGCAGTTCGTGTGAGCACCGAGAACTTTAGGAGCAAGCAATTTTAGCTGATGTTTAAGGCAGCCTAGCAGGGTCAGTGAGCAGAGGAGTCAGATGCTGATGGTGTCTGGCATGTGTCGTAACTCTGCATGTGATTTTCTGCTGTTCTTACTGGGTTGATAAATTACATTTTGCTTTGCTGGGTTATTTTTCTGTTCCCTCCTGCTCTTCGTCACTATTCTGCCCACTCATCCTTCTGTCTTCTGCCATGTGACGGGTTTCTACACGTGAAAATACTGAATTCAAATAGCAGATTCCACCCACTCAGTCGCCCACGCACATTCTGCATGGCAGGCTTTCTCTCCTCCACCTGAAGTGCTCAAAGGGAATGATGAAGAGATGAGAAGGTGGGCTGACTGTCTAACGCATTATCCTAGCTTTGATCACTGAACCCCACTGGAAACACAGCTCGTGTGAAGGAATATTTGCAAAAACAAATGATCAGAACTCGTCATTTGTGGGAGATTTCTTCCGAAGTAGAACATTTCTGTGAATCTTAAACGCGTTTACCTTGACCACCATAAATTATCTGGACAAAGTTTCACATCTTACCATGGTGAATTAATAACTCCACAGAAAGTCTGTCTGTTGCCATAGTGAAATTGTAAGATCCAATAAGATCTTTCCACATGCATGAATACCCAGATGTCGGATTTGTGCTAATTTTATTATCATCACTTATCTCCAGAAAGAGGCTGAGAAGAGCTCTGTACCACAGAGGCAGGCTGACCTGCAAACAGCAGTATTTACTTCTCACACTCAGCCATAGGTGTGATCAGCTGGATAAAGAGCTGATACTCTGCAGTTGTGGTGGTTTACTGCCTTGCTCAAGGGCAGCTCTGTAGTACTCCATGATTACTGTTCCTTTTCACCATGCCAGCCTTGAGAAATGCACACAAATAGGAGGAGGCTGGACCACTTACATCATTTTTTCTGTATTTGCTTTGCCAAAAACGTTGTTGTTTTGTTGTTGTTGTTGTTGTTGTTTTAATAATACAGGTTTACTGTAAATGACAAATTTGTTATCCTTGGAACTCAAAGAACACTGTCAAGCTTTATTATTAAAGACAAAGTTCCCAAAGAAACCATTATTTAGTTGTTATTTTGAATTTGAATTCTGAGTTTCACATGCTGGCTGAATGTGAAAACAGTCTTCTACATCTGTTTCCTGCAGTAGCTCAGGTTAGAAATTCCAGCCAGATGTATGTCACATTGTAAATTAGCATTCATGGACCCATCTTTGCTCGCAATGGGAAATGCTGTTGACGGATTAGCGTCCAGCAAAGACCAGAGTGTGTTTCAGCTAAAAGATGCTAACGTTAGCATAAGCAACTCCACTACACAGCAGAACTCCTTCAGGCTTGTGTTGTTTGTGTACATAAAACATCAACATGACAAAGCAAATAGAGTCAGTGGTAGAGTCGCGTTGCTGTTAGCCAGTCAGAGGCAAGATGTCCAAATATCAGGAAATACAACTCATGTCTTAACATCTTCATGTAAACTGTAAATGGAACCTTTTAGTGCCCTTGACTCAGCAGCAACATCATAGCAACAAACCTTTCAATTTTGATACTGGATATTGAGACTTCCTGTCCAGATATCCGCTGATGTTCCTGACTTTGAGTTGGCTCTGCTAAACGGGTATCTGCGGATTACAGCATGTAAATAAAAAGCTAAATATCAGCTTGATACATCGGTCTATCCCTAGTTAGGATCCCCCTGCATGCCTCCTTGTTTTCAGCTTGTCTTACCAGTAGTAGACCCCAGGGTTGATCCAGGACA